GTGAACCATTTTCCTCAGAAATAAAGGAGAAAGGGAGTCTGTGCACATCTGAGAGCTACAATGTCACCGTAAACCAATAGATGGCGCTATCACAAGTAGTCTTACAAGATCTTGAACTGATCTTGTAGGCAGCTAGATCGTGGAGACATAATTTGTGGTGAAGTCCTTTGGGGAAGCGAATCCTGATTCTACTAGTAACGTTTACAGTCTACTTACTCCCTTAGGGCTTGCCTCCACTGCTAAAGTTAGTTTAAGTTAGTGCACATGAGTTAATGCAGGGACCAGAGCCTGGCCTTACCCATGCGCAGAATATGCAGCTGTGTAGGGCACCTGAAAATTTGGGGCACCGCTGGGTCTTAACGTCCACCCATCCATCTCTTCCCATCCATGTTCTGTGGCTCTGCTTCCTCTGGAGAGCATCGGGTTAAATTAAAAGTGAAAAAGCTGGGCAGACCTATTAGCAGAACCCCTGAAAGACCCATTCAAGTAGTAACAAGCCATTTTACAGCCTTTTGTCAACCCCTGTCAGTTTCTGAATTTACTGGAAAAACCAGCAAGCAAATGGTCTGGTAGCACTTTATAGACTAACAAAACATGTAGATGGGACTATGAGCTTTCATGGGCACAGCCCCCTGAAGCTCCTGAATGTACAGGGTCGAAGTTTAAATTTGTTTTCAATATATTTCCTTAGTGTGTTATTTCATATTATAAAATCACCTCTCTGAAATAATCATTGCCCCTCCCAACTGCCTGCAGGGCACTAGTTTAATAGTATTGCTCCAGAAATCCTTGCAAGGGACCACACTCCAGCACCACACCGGAGTTATGCAGAGTAATTTGATTAGCAGGATGAGTAGTTATAACTCTGGGCCTGGCTATTTCATCCTCCCTGCTTTCCTAGTTTGAGCCTTCACGTCATTTGAGTTTCCATCTCCCCACCCTCCCCCAGGTAGTCCAGCTAGCTGGAGTTTCAAGCACTAAGAGAGCTAGAGATTTTGGGTGGATGGGAGTTGAGTTAGGGGCACCAGGGGTTATAAATCATACTAACAGTGCTGAGATAGTGATAGAAAAGTAGCCGTGTTAGTCTGGTGTATAGTGCTAAGATAGATAATCTGTTAGGTGTGTAAGACACTGCCATGCAAAGAAAAGCATGCCAGGGTGCAAACACCTCACAGTGACCTGAGAAGTTCCGATAATAAAAGGTTGTAGGATGGAAAACATTAGCAGAGATGGTATCCTCCCTGGATGCTACCTCAGCTCTTCCCATTGACCCATTGTGCGGAAACAGAAGACCTAATTTGCAGAGATACTTCATTGTTGTCTGCTTGCGGTATGAATGCTTAAATGCTCCTGAAAATCAGGCCCTGGGTGTTATGTTGCCTTATGTGCCTGGTCGTGGGTTTGTATTTTCTTCTCTCTATTCTGAGTAACAATAGAACAATAATAATAAAGTGGTTGGGAAAATTGAATTATCTTTCTTGGGAGAAGAGGAATTTTCTGTATTTTTGTTTTTGTCTGAAATTTTCTGATTTTTTTTTCTGCTTTTCAGTGAAAAAACAAACCTAGAACTTGAAAACTGAAAACGTTTAGGAAAAAAGTCATTTTAAACCCTCCTGCCCCTCACACACATTTTGGGGGGTGGTGTTTGGAAAAAACCCAGAAAATTTCCACCCAAAATTTTCTGTGAACTTTGTTGGATTGGTTCAAAAGCCTGTTTTGCTTTTCCCATCCCCCCACATGCAATTAATTGGAAAAAAAAATCAAGCAGCTGTAATAATACATGAAAAATGGCCAGCACAGGAGACATGAAAGTGTTCAACTATCCAGAGACTGACCTGAAAAACAATAGTGAGGGAAATAAGGAAGGAAGCATGTTAAGGCAGGAACAGACGATTGCTTCCTATAGGGCAGACCGAGCAGTAGTAAAGCATGGCTCTCCAGGCTGTAGCTGGTAAAAATTACACAAGGTATAAATAAAGGCGAAGATGGAGGGGATGTAGGATCACAAACAATCTGATCCTGTTTCTCTTCAGGTGTTCTTCATGGATATAACTGCTATGGAAGATAAGAGCAGGTCAGTGCAGATGGTACACTTAGATTTTCAAAAACGTATCCCGAGACCAAGCTCAGAAAATAAACCGATTCTTGTCAGAAGAATTCATTCTGCTGTTTCCATAGGATATGGTTTCACTCGTGAGCTGTCATCACTGTGCACTGTTAATGCTACATTATCCAAAGAAGTGGGTTGTGCCCACAAAAGCTCATGATACTAGATACATTTTTGTTAGTCTCTAACGCGCCACAGGACTCCTCGTGGTTTCTGAACACAATGTTATGGTTGTTCTTTCCACGTTCACAACTGAACACTGAGTTAGGACAGCTTTGAAACTTTATTTTGCAGGAGAAAAAATGCTGCTTTCTCTTTAGTTAGTCAGCTTACATTTAATGCGGTCCTGTACTGTATTTGCTTTCTTTCTTTGGTCTCTGCTGCTGCCTGATTATACTTCCAGTTTCAAAGAAGATGTGTGGTTGAGTTCCTAACTCTAACTTGGTGGTTCATCTGCTCTGCTTGATATATTGTCACTGACACATATGGAGGGGAAGGCTGACAGTATCTTGCTGAATCAGGGCTCTCAACACACCTCAAAATATGAACATTCCTCAGTCTGGGATTTGAAGGACAGCTTGAAGGGTTTCTAAAGTCACCCAGGGTATGTCTACACTACAACGTTAATTCGAACTAACGGATCCAGACTAAAAAACTAGTTTGAATTAGCGTTTTGCTAATTCGAACTAGCATGTCCACATTAAGTGGACCCTGAACCGGGCTTAAGGATGGCTGGAAGCAGTGCCGGCAGGGCATCAGAGGAGGACTTAGAGCGTGGAGATGCTGTCTCAGGCTAGCCGAGGGCTGTGCTTAAAGGGTCCCGACCCCCACCCCAGACAGACAGTTCTCAGGGGTACCCCGCTTGCAAAGCAGTCCTGGCTTGGATTGCCCGGACTACCCACACTGGGCACATCACACCACTCGGCCATCAGCCTGGCTGCACTTGCCGCAGGCTGCCATCTGGGGAGAGGGGGCAATTGGAGGCTGCAGGAGAGCTTCCACCCCCAGAAGCCCACAGAGCCAGCCCAGTCCTCCCCATCGGGGGCTCGTGCCCTATTCCTCCCTCACCTCCTTCCACTTACCCTTCCCTAGCCCCTCTTCTTGATGTACAAAATAAAGATAATGTGTCTTCCAAAATGGAATCTGTCTTTATTGAACAAAACTGGGGGAGACTGGGAAAAGGAGGTGGGAGAGGGGAAGAGAGAGGCTGGGAGAGGGGAGGGCAACTAACATGATCAGGGGTTGGGAACAGGTCCCATATGAAGAGAGGCTAAAGAGACTGGGACTTTTCAGCTTAGAAAAGAGGAGACGTAGGAGGGACAGGATAGAGGTCTCTAAAAGCATGAGTGGGGTGGAGAGGGTGCATACAGAAAAGTTCTTCATTAGTTCCCATAAAGAAGGACTAGAGGACACCAAAGGAAAGGAATGGGTAGCAGGCTTCAAACTAGTAACAGAAAGTTCTTCTTCACAAAGCAAAGAGTCAACCTGTGGAACTCCTTGCTGCAGGAGGCTGTGAAGGCTACAACTAGAACAGAGTTTAAAGAGAAGTGAGATAAAGTCATGGAGGTTGGGTCCATGGAGTGGTATTAGCCAGGGGGTAGGAGTGGTGTCCCTGCCCAAGATTTGTGGAAGGCTGGAGAGGGATGGCACGAGACAAATGGCTCGGTCATTGTCTTCGGTCCATCCCTCCAGGGTACCTAGTGTTGGCCACTGTCAGCAGACAGGCTACTGGGCTAGATGGACCTTTGGTCTGACCCAGGACGACCATTGTAAGCTCAGGGCTCAGGGTCGGGGGTCTCAGTGGAACACCTTGATTTTCATGCACGCCTGCTCCTGGGTGGCCAGGCTGGCAGCTCTCCTGCCCTAGACGGCCACTTTCCTGTGCCTAGTGCGGAGGT